ACCACTGAAGTTTAAACATATTAATAGCTTTTTCCCATGAATGAGTGAAAAGAAAGATGTGACTTAGGCAACATCTGCATTTTTCTCTAAATTCATACTGCCACTTAGGTCTCCAGTGCCTATTATGATGGTACAGCTACAGGTCATTGTAGGAGCATTGATCCAAACATAAAAACAGCAGTGAGAGAAGCTTTGTTTCATATACATTTAGCATCTGACATCTTCCCTCATTTGTGCATTAATCAGTAACAGACATATCTGAGCATCCTGCTACAGGAGGTGATTTGACTTTCGCAAATTTCCCTAAGAGCAGAAACATCATCAGGAACAATTTCAAGGAAATAATTATGGTCTAGACAGATTTATGACTTCTAAAGACCTAATCCAAAGCACATTAATGTCAGTGGAAGGACTCCCATTGACATCAAAGGCCTTTAGATCAAACCCCAACTGCTGTGGGAATGAATTCAGAGCAATAATGATGGTGGACTAAATGCACACTTGCAGTTGAAATGTTACCACCCAGACCTTTTTATTCCTCAAATCAGATTAAAAAGTCATTTTCTGCTATTTCACAATTACTTCCAGATGCGCATCATCTCAAATGGCATTTTCATCCATCTGTATGAACCAAGCGTGCATAGAGATAGAGAAGTTCTACACTGCCTGAACTAATAATACAAATGAAAGCCACAAGGGAAAATAATTTTGGAGGTGATGAAGTTCATGTTTTAAATGCGGAGTGAGAAACCTCGGAATCCATTTATTCCTTCTAACTACTTTGGGATAAAGCTGCCAGGCCCACCACTTCTTTATTTACTGCCACAGTAGATTTCTTCTAATTAAATTTTCAATATTTTTCTCTAGTTCCCAAACAAAACAAAAGAATACACGTAAATCAGTGTTAACCTCAAACTTGGCAGCCTAAAAACTGTCAGAAATATCAACTTCATATACTCTCTGCTTAGTAACAGCTCTCCTGTCCCTTCTGTCCTCTTAAACGTCTATTTACATGCTAAATAATTTGAAGCATCACTCTTCTCTGACCATGTTAATCTAGTTTCATTCCCTTAGCAGCCGATAACATTTTAGATTGTGAAATAAAATGCCAACGTTGTGTGCTAGTGGAAACTCATTCAAATTTTTACACAAATTCAACTCCAAGATGTGACTGATCAGTCATCAACATCATGTGTTACTCTGAAGTGCATGCTATGGGAATCACACATCTTTTATTCACTCCTCTAGCAATACTTCGGTTAGGCAGGTTCAGTTATCACATATTCATTGTGATATGAGCATGTAATGGACTGGTTGAACTCTGCCTCACCAAATTAGTTTTAGTAAGTTTGAGAACTTTCTATAGGAGATTATATGTGACACTTTTTTTGTCAAATAACACACATTTCCTAGCATAACTCCATCTTTCAGTACCTAATGAATACCTCACCTATTACCTAAGTCTCTGTACCCTTCTCTGCACTTCAGAAAACAAGATTTTTTTTTGTCCTTCTTCAGTTACTATACGTGTGGGAAACCAGATCATTAGTGACTGGGTAATGCTACTACCTAGATTCAAAGAATAATGAGCCAGAGAACAATTAACTGGTTTTTTTGTTTGTTTGGTTGGTTTTTTTTAACAAATTGATGCTGATCACTGGTTACTAAGAGCATCTGAATGGGAAAGGAATTCAGGTTGACAGAGGAAGGCAATATTGGCTAAAAGTATCCAAGGTATTAAAATGGTTCAGTTCATACATTTTCTGGGCTATACTTGTAATGGAGAACATGCTTTAGGTATGTCCTACCCACCACCTGTGTCACAAGGAGTTATTTTTAACGTGGTTTCCTCATGAATCAAAGCCTATGTGAACAGACTGTGTACGTGTGCAACTTTCATACCCTCTCTCCATATCTAATAACTTGGGACTCTCTTGGCCAATTCAGGCCAATCTGCAGAAAGGCAAAAGTCACAAAGTCATTAAATTCTTAAAAGCTTTATGGAAATAGGTGTCCAGCTAAACGGGGAATCCTATTATTACCCTAAATCAGGGCCATCAAAGAATCACCCTGGCATTCATCCTTCAGCTGCAAGTACACAGGAACTGCTCAGGAGACTACTTTTTAATCTAGTGCTGTTGCAATATTTTCTTCCATGAAAAATTAACTCAGTGTATTTTAATACAACAGACACTAGTAAGCCTCTCAGCTTACTCTAAAAACATTTTTTCAAGACACACCAAAAGCAGTAACATACTTTAGTCATTACTTGGCACCATCTTTTAGATGAGTTCACACTTCAGTGCATTTTGTTATCAGAAGTGCACGAGAACATTGCACCTGGAATATATGGACTGAAAAAGTCTGAGCGCTTCAATTCAAATTTGCTGACTTTCATTAGTTTGACACCAATAAAAAAAACTATTCCATCAATTCTCAAAGGTAGAAGGCAACCCATGGGAATGATACATGCAAAACCCCTTAAGCATTAAAATATGTGTAAATTATGTTAATAGGGAACTGCCCAAGCAAAAAAAAGAAAAAAATTAGTCAGGGAAATAACACATTTAAAGAAAGTTAAATTATCAAGATTATAATTTCAGGGATATGAACTTCTCCAGCACCAAACCATGTCATTACTACCATATTTTTTCTTCCATCTTTATATCTTATCGGCGTGAATATACACAGTAGATAACAACAGACCCTTGAATGAGGTAAAAATAAGAAAGTACCTTCGCTGGTAATACTGAACTTCTCTACCAGGGAAATTTTGTCTTGGCTTTACATGCACCTTTAATGCCGTTCCTCTCCCCCTGCTTTCACCCCAGCTCTTCATGATTTTTAATGCCTTTTCAACATGTTCAAGGCAAAATTCAGTTTGGCCAGCTGTTGGCTGCTTCAAGTCACATGAGATGACACAGAACTACACACTGCTTTTATAACTGAATACATAGTTTAGACAATTTGCTGGATTTTAAAAGGGTACATTAGCTTTACTGGGGTGCATTAGGTAAGGTGAGACAGTCCCCTTTTCCCTATGAATATATTACAAACGTAACCAGATGACTCCTAGGTCAATGATTCAAAGCAAACTTACACACTACGAAAAAATCAGCATAACCATATGAACATATACATAAACCAATATATTAAGTATACTTTTCTTCAAGGACAACAAGTCGTGGTATTATTTTTATGACGAAAACATGGGAAAAAATTTCAGTATCAGCTTTTTAAAAACCATTTAGAACACCAGGGTAACTCGTTTGAGAGCTATGAATGTACGTGACTTTGAAGTGATGATTCCCTATTAAATGCATTCCTTCAGAGCAAGAGAAAGCATTTGCTCCTAATGTTGCCTCCCTCCACATTTCACATCTATCAATTAAAATAAAGTCAGAGAAAACATTTTGGTTTTTAGTTCCACATTCAAGGAGTATAGTACTGACATATCAGGCAATGCAGTTACTTCACGAAAACATGTCTTTAGCCAGAGCGGCAAAGCCAAGATTTATAGCACGATGGTAAGAAACATGCTACTCATTTCCCCTTTCCTTCAGACTACAGCCATTGGGGTGCAGGTGACACTTACGGCAGAGAAAGGCATACAAGCAACCACCAGGACTATTGCTCCCGCGAACACTGCTTTGACATCAGTGGACTGAATATGGTTAAGTAAAAAATAATTTCCTCATAAGCCAGGTGAACTCCTTCCCCATTTTGTTATTACTATCCAGAAAATGTATGATGAGAGAGACCGCTGCTCTCCTCTTCCTCATTCCATATTTCTGCAGTATTTTAGGGTATTTCTAAGCCTTTCAAGACTCTCCCTTGACTCAAATCCTAGCAATACATGCTTGTGGTACATAAATATTTGTTTATGCAAATACATTTTAATTCAAACATTTAATCTTGCCAGGTAAACACAAGAAAGATAATGCTGATATACTTTTCACAGAAGACTTAGCTCATGGTTTTAATTTCCTGTTTTTATTAGCTTACCTCACTTGATGAAAACATTAACGCATTTTGAAAAGTACGTTTTATTTTCTGGTTTCTCAAGAAAACGCTTTGTTGCTACCACCTCATTAGAGTCATCAGCTTTTAATTGGAACAAGTTTTAAATTTAAAGAAGCGATTGAAAAAATGGTGCTGATGTGTCACCGCAGTACTTTAAATGCTCACTTGCTCATATCGAAAGTTGTTTTTATGCTGAATATCAATATGCAATTAGAAAGAGATAATGTAAGTAGTGCTGGGCCTCTGCAGAGTACTCTTTCAGCATTTGTAAGCTCCCTTCTTGTTTATGCTGCCGGAGTCTATCAAACAACTCTCATGTTGACACAACATGAAAGCAACCAAAATGAATGGCTATAAATACAGTCAAAGCAAGAGATAGCAATAAGCAGAACAACTAAGTCCTCATTTGAAGATGAAACAGTATTTCTGAGTGAGCAGCATGTGATTAACCTGCTGTATGTGGGGTCAATATGATTTATTCTCACAGCTCTGCAGCCAGTCGTAGCCCTGGGCCTCACTTGCTATCAAAGACACAGCCTTCCTCCAATCAACCCTCCCCTATGTCTAGCTAACACTGAGCTCTTACTTAGGAAAATTAACTATCGTGTCTTTCATTTAAATTATTTCCACCCCTGCTTGGAAATAACTGTTAGCATAACGGACAGTTTACCAAGTGTGCTTTCTAGTCTCCAGTTCATCTATCTGCTGCCTGCAATGCTCCTGCAGCCTAAGAGCAGATCTTGAAAACCACAGACAGGGAAAACAAAGGAGTACCTATCTTGTCTAAATTCTGATTATTGCTAGAACAGTACTCTCTTGGCCCAATAGCAAAGAATAAAAAGCAGTAGCCCATTACATTTCAAGACAATCAAGTGGTTCAAAATAGAGGGACAGTACTGGATTTGGTTCAAACATTTAACAGAAACTCCACGTTTCATTTAAAAAAGCTACTTTTCTTGGAGGGACGAACCTCTTACCTTTTGTAGCTATTCGAACACACTGAGTTTTGGTTTCCTGTTGAGGAGGGAAAAGTAAAGAAAACAGTCAGATCAGGTTGTTCTTTCTTGCCCTCCCCATTCCATAAATTCGTCCGAGATCTGCTGATCAGCTGGGGCAACCCAACAAGGTGGCTCAGGGCTCTGGACTTAGCAGGAGAGAAGAGGCTGAGTGATTTTGCCTTTACAGAAGCTGGATGAAATCTAGACATTGATCTGTACTATCCAGGATAACAATGGGGAGAAAAGGTGCAGGACAGCCCAGATGTAGCCAAATTTCAGATTATTCAAATCAAATGGAAATCATGCCATAAGAACACAGAGAGAGGGTGCAGTGGAAGAAAAGGGGAGGACTGGTGCTCCTCTTATTTCATGGCACAGAAATCCTGAGCCAGTGTTGACCTCCAACAGCACCATGCAGCAAAGAAGGGTACATTTGTTCAGCACTGTGTCCAAATTAACTTGTCTTGCTGCATCCTGATGGTCTTGAACAGTTACGTGAAGCATGTCAGCAACGTGCTCCCACATGCTTCTGAGTATGGAATTAGCATAGAAGCAGCCCAGGTATCCCTTCACATACGACACAGTTAATCTACAACCTATATAATCTGCCCAGGAAAGACAGTGATTTGACAGTCATGTGCTTCCGAAGAAGTTGCACATGCAAAGACAATTTTTATGTTTTTACTTCCCCCCTTGCCCCTTCAGAAGTTTGGTCAGCAATTGAAACAAATGAACAGAGAAATGACTTGGTTATGCACAGTTTGGACAACTTGAACAGACGAGGGTCAGTCATAAATGGGTTTTCTGACCTTTTTGTACAACGTGCAGTCATTTTAAAGGCAAACATACTGAAATAGCATAAGGTTGTGTGAGAGGATGCAGCTGCTGCTGTATTAGATCACTCTAAACAATATTAACCTGTAATTAGAAAATATAATAATGGCAGTTTCATTCTTTAAAATATGCTCCCTCTAGTCCTGCACCCCACAGCACTCCATCCCCGCATACATCCCCTGGGATCTCTCTCTTCTTGAAGATTCCCAAGCAACAGGTAAAATATGTTGATGCTGTTTTGCAAACACAGCTTGTAAAGAACGAGAAAAGCTGTGAGTTGAGGCTTCCCTTAAGTGTTCCATAAAGACAATTTCTCAATCTAAATGAAAGCCCTGCAAAGTTTATCGATATAATCTTACCTAATTAGCATTCTCCCCAGTTACTGCATTTACTTGTCCACTTTTGATCAAAATGTCTGTGAGGATCACAGAGTAATTCTCATCCCAACCCTATGGTGTATTTCAGAGCATACTTTACTTCCCTTTGACTATTTTGGTAAGCCCACTGCTTTATAGTAAAGCACCTGTTTAAATATTCTGCAGCTCAGAGGTTATCTTACAACCACTAGATCTCTGTCCTGGCAGAATGCAGTGCAGTCCACCCAAAACCTCCCCCCACATCCCTCTAGGAACAGAAATCTGATCCAAAGTTTTAAATCATACCAGAAAAAAAAAACATTTTAGGATTAAACTCTCTCACAAGCTGAAATCACGTTAAAGTGAAAAATAACGTGTTCTTCCCTCATCTTCTACTTATCTGTCAAAATGTAAAAGCCAAAATAAAGATCTGTATTTGTATTTAATATTTTTGTTTTACTTTTCCCTCCCATTTATTTCTTGGGGAATGAAACAAATTTCCTTACAACTCAGTCAGCCGGAAGCCAACAAAAGCAAAGGGAATATATGTAGCAGGTGAGGGAAATATGAACGAGTGACTAGCAGTTACCTTTTATTTTGCTTTGTTTGCTTCATACAGGTCTATAGATAAGAACTAGGAAGAGGGGACGGTCTCTTCATTCAGAAAAAGCCTCCAGTTCTCAAGCAGCTCCAGTACACTTTCATCAGCTCCTGCTTTTTCCTCATTCTGACTTGATGCGTATGCAATTTTCATAACTATTGGTAGAAGGTGAGATTTTCTTCAAAAGGCTCCAAGGCAAGGCTGCCTGTTAGCTAGGATTTGTTTAGTCACCGCAGAGACCCAAACGTAAGGAAGGGTAAACACGGCTTCTGCTCCTTTCCAATGGGCTCTGGTGAGTCTCAGCGGCTATCGATCTGGCTGTTCTTTCTAGCTCCTCTCTGACCTGCCTGGACACTTCCTATGGAGATTCTTACGGACATGTTATTGCAATTTCCTTCAGATTTCTAAACTATAAATCAAAAATTTAAATTTTTAAATATCTGAAGCTTCTGTGCCTACCATCTTTTCCCTCCTCACCGATGATTTCCCCCTCCCCCATTTTTCATTTATGAGAGGAAAAACCATTCAAGAGCAACAGCATGGGGCTTGCAGAGCCACAGTTGTTCTTCCCACCTGGAACCTCCCTCCCTGGCACTCTTCCCCCTTCCATGTGCATAGAGCATAGAGCCAGCAGCAGTACTCAGCGACAGAGTTAAAAATGAAACACCAAGGAGGTAACGAAGGTGAGCAACAGCCTTACTCTTACTATTGCACAGCAGTGGAGCAAGCCTCAAGTACACCTTCCCAGAAAGGCTCTCAAAAACACACCGTGGACCTGGGGTTACTTTTGCTCAAGCAAATTTTTACTTTTTATTTGATGTTCAGTGTGAGAGTCTCAAAAAGTTTCTAACATTTTATTAGCCTGCTGAGCAGCCCATGTTCTGTTTATCCCATAGTAATTTAATCTTCTGAAGTGCGCAAGTACTGAGAATTGGGGAAAGGGCTGTGGATGTTATTTACCGAGGAGGCAGAGTCACAGCACTGAAATTACTTCGCCGAGATGATTACTACAAGATGTATTAAACTCTCATCTAGTAGCAGTTACTATGATGCAAGGGTGGTGTGAAACGTGAATGGCACGCTGCCATGCTGTCACGGCACGGAAGGGATTACAGCCGTGCCACTGCCAACACCTAACTACGTCCAACTTTGACACTCCTAATTGTCACCATGGGCATGTCTTTGACTCCATCCAGGAGAAAGGTGTGGTTGGCACTTACCTTCTCAACGCTACTCATGGCCTGGAAATAGATGTTGTAGCCTTTCCGAGGAGCCAGCGGCGGGTTCCAGAAACCCTGGTAAGTCCTGTTGTCGCCCACAGTAAAGGGGGCTGGCTCCGGCAGGTTTCCTGGGGGCAGCTCAGCAGCGAAGTAATACGGCGAGCCTCCGCTAAGAGCGGTCTGATAGGTGACGGGGATTTGGTAGCACTCCATGGCACCTGTTTCTCGCTTCGTTCGGTGCGGGTGCAGCTCCTCAACAACGATCTGGTAGGCACTAGTGAAACAGAGGAAAATCAGCATACCTTTAAGGTCACCTGCTAGGGTCAACTCTCTAGTCTCATGAAAATATTAACCCGATTGCTTTGTGTAAACTTAAAACGAAAAAAAAAGAAAAGAAAATAGGAAAAGACAGCAGATTCATGGATGCAGAGGAGAAACAAAGGCTTGAAATAAAGCAAAGCTGTCTAATTCAGCCATTGGAAAGAAGCAGCATCCATTTTTTTCAGGAAAAACAACAATACAAATCTATACATAACCTCCTAACAATGATTATTCTTTTTTTTTTAAGGCTTTTTTCTTTTGAAAAAACATATGAATGAATCTGACTTTAAACTACAATAGATTAAATTCTTGGCTAATCGGAAGCATCTGAAGTTAGCATTTTCCTTTGAAACAATATTAGAGAAAGCTGAGCTTCAAGGCCCAACATAACGACTGCCTCCAGGCTGTGCCTGAAGCACCAATTTGCAGTTGTCATATCATTAAGAGACAGAATGTGCTGACAGGCTTCTCCACCTCTTGACCTTGCTGTGGCTTCTATCTTGGCTCAGAGCTACGCAGATCTAAAGTACAAGCGACATGCTGCAATACAAGCACAGATGGACAGAAATCTGTCCATTCTACCAAAATAGACTGCCTCATTCCTCTACAATTGTCAATGATAAAACGTTACAAATTGCTCAAGCAGATGGCATTCGGCCTATTAAAACGCCATCCCAACCTCCCAATACTTCTCTTGAAATGGTCCATGGCTTGGTCACTTTTCAAAATCACCTGCTCAAAATAGAACAGGTAATTATAATTCTTCTTTCTCCTTTAGGGGAACTACCTAACTGCAGGATGTTACCAACTCATTATCAGCTTCCTCTGCTCTGCAGAAGTACAGAACTTACACACTGAGGGCAGGAGGCAATTCTTCAGTTTATAAGAAAAAAAGAAAAGAAAAAAAGTTTTTTGCATTTTAAGAAATATATGTACGCATACGTACCTATACACACACATGTATACATGCACACAATTTCTTATTTATATGCAGATACATTTGAGGGCCTTATGAAAGAGTAGTAAGAAAATATGCCTAAGCATGTAGACAAGACCTGAAGCTATTCAATTAAACTGGCAGAATTGCCTCTCTTGGTTTTGTTTTAAAGATTTCTAAACAGAAAAAGTAAAATTGAAGAGAGTTCTGGAAGCATCACTGCATTGCTGCAGGGACTCCGAAAGGCAAAGGCAAAGACAGTCCTCCTCATTTCAGAACTTATGGGGCAGCATTAAATTATTACGTCAATTTTCTCTGCTACTACTGCCCAAAAAACCCAGTAACTGTAGTGGCAGAGATGAAGTATGATACTGGGGAATGGAAGAAAGGAGAGAAGAAAAAAATAAGAAATTAGTTTCACGTCTTTCTAGAGCTGAAAGAAGTTGTTAGCATCCCCTCTTCCTAGCACCTAAAAAATTAAGGAGGAAAGCCTCTTCCCTTTCAAAGTGACCAAGAGGAATATAAAAAGTCACCTCATTTTTGAAACTCTAGGTAATTAGAAGGACGTAAACAAAAAAATGGTAAGTTAGTTCCAGGGATCTCTGTTTTTCATAAGCAGCCTGTGAACTGAGCTTGGTTATAAATCATCTTCTGTGGTAACCTCTATGTATTAACCACATCCAGTTAATGCGGCCTGCACCAACAAATCACTTCCACAAGACCCCTGCGTACCCAGAACCTTTCTTTACGCTTCAAAATTGATGTACTAGCAAAAAAACCCTAGAAGCATCAATACTTTACAAACTTGACAGGATGCAAAATATTTAAAATAATTTTTGTTTATAATGTCCCAAGGGACCTCCCTGGCCTGGCCCTGGACCCAGGCAGGGTTAAAACCACCGCTCCCGAACTGGGCAGCCAGCTACAACTGGAGAGTGCTGGGAGCAGAGACACCGCCTCTCTGCTCCCTCCGTTCTGCAGTCTTTCTCTCGTGAGCTGCCAAAGGACTGGACCGACACAAATTCTGCTCTCTCAAGTGCCAGGAGAGCAGGAAACTTGTCATCCGCGACACCCTGCCAACTTAGGAGGAGAAAGCCAGCAGGGAGAGCGGAAGGACAGCGCAACGTCTGCAAGCGACAGAGGCAACCGTCCCCTGGAACAGCCTGGTTTGTCACGCAGCTCAGAAGCTGAGATCCACCACAGTTTCCAAATTAAACCCCTTATTTCCCATTTTACAAAATAAAGGGTAAATGAGGTATCTTTTTTTTAAGGCGCATATTCTTTTTAAGGGGCAAGTCTCTATGGGGACAGAAACAAACCAAAAAAATAAAAGATGAAGGGCATGAGAGTTAAATACTGAGATAAATATTAGGTAAGTCCCTTTTAATAGCATTCTTTAAAAATATGCAGTAATTTTTGAATCTTAAATAAAAGGTATGGCAAAATTTTAAGCATGAGATCACAAGAAAATGTGAATGTTCTGAAATATTTTCAAATAATTTACATAAAGTACGCTCCCATTTAAATAAAATATGCTTCAAAAAATAATGCTTTTTGGGCCCCTATATCTGAAGCTACAAATCTGAAGCTACAAAATGTGCAAAATAAGAAATAGATATACACATTGCAGCCGTCTGCATTTATACAATTACTTTTAGTTAAAGAAAGAATAGCAAATGTCAGAAAGTCTTTAAAGTCTCTAACGAGGCTTTTTAATTTTTTTTTTTTTAATTTTTATTTTTTAATTTTCACAAAGTATCTTTTAAATAAAAGATGTGCCTATCCTCTTTGGAAAGGGGATCTGGCAGTATTTTTCATGCTACATTATAGGCTAACAAGACACGGAGGAATGCAGTCATCTCGGCCCTTTGTGATACCATCTGTTTAAGCCTATTTACTAACACTACAGTGTCTCCAAAGCAGCACTGTTACTCTATGTACACATAAGAGTGTTCGGAAAGGACACCCTGCTGTAAGATGTGAAGAAAGAAGCCAAAATCTAAATTTGCAACTTGAGAAGTGGGGTGTTCACTGGCTGTAAATGTGGTCTGATATCAGGCTACAAGTGAAAGTTTAAAGGCTATGTACTCTGCTTATCCTTGCATTTTTACATATTACTAATCCTAGCTTCAATTATCTTATGTTTTCTACACATTTTTTGTGTAACGGTGGGAATTCAATTATTGAGAGAGCTTTCTTGTGACTGGAGCTGAGGGAATTCCTACAATAGCTATTTTTTTTCCAGTCTTCCCATACAGCAAACAAGGAATAAAAGAGAGAAAGAGAGGGCGGGGTGGAAACCTAGATGACAACATTCCTTCTCCCTGATGACTATAATAAGTTCTGAGCTATTCTGAAGAGTAATACAGACTTCAGGAGCTTCTACATAAGTTGCCAGGATCATAAAGGCCAAACAGTTGCCTGAGACAGCCAGGTAAGTGGAGAAAATGTTGAAGATATAACAGGTGAAGAGCTCCTCTGCTGAGATTTTGCAGGAGGACATTATTTTTGATGTCAAAAACCTTTTTCTTTTACTAAAGAAAACCTGCACAGAACCTCCCTATTGACAAAGACAATTACAAACAGCCTAAGCAGGCTCCTGCCAACAGATCCTCCTTTTTACCCCTCCCTAAAAACTCAGGCTCTCAAACAGGTACTGCAGTGGTGAACACGTTGTTCATACTTCAGCCCTATTCTGACTGGGCTTTAATATCAGCTAAAGATTTCCTTCCACGCGCCTAGTGGAGACACAGCATTCTCTCCTTTGACAGGTGCCAGACTGACTGACAGCTCAAGTTATAACCTGAGCTCTTGAAAGTCCGACCGACAACTAAGTTTAGCTGCTTCCTGCCATGGTCCACTTAATCAGTCTTTTTGTAAAATGAAAACAACCTGATTTTGCATATGGAGGTATAAGAAAAACACATTACCAATCAAATAAAATAAATTTCATCATTAAACAGTTGTCTATGCTGATTCTGATATAAGTGCTTCGTAACCCTCATCTGAAGTAGGATTTGAAAACAAAAGATTGTTTTGCCGGTGCTCAGTTAGGATCCTTCAGAAAAACTACAGTGACAAATCACATCTTCAAATGAATCACTGAAGCACCATTGATGCTACTGACTGGGATCTCATCCATGAGATTGATGGTGAAACAGTACACGCTTCACAGTGAGCCTGAGCCATCCAGCCCTGTCTCCCCTTGCATTTCTAGTCTGTAATTTTGTTTAAAACTTCAGGAGGCCATAAAGAATGCTAGAAATTACACAATAACACTTGACAGGGAAGTTATGATTAGAGTCATGTTTAAACTGTGATGACTAGTGTCTGAAAGAAATGATTGACAGCTGCACATAGATTACACTTGAGTTAAGGAACATCTGTTTCCTGGGGGGCTGTGTTGATGGAGAGGCTGAGGTACAACAAAATCTGATCATAGTATAATTCTGTTTGTAAAATCAAAGAGTATCAGACTAAGCTTTTTTTTTCCCTTTTCTATTTTTTTTTTTTTTTTAAAAAAAACAACATGGACCTACTGCTATTACATAAAATAATATTTTGACCATCTACAGCTCCAGGGATTAAAGGACTGGGTGCAAACAAACCTTTTCAAAAAGCCAACTGTATTCTTCAGTGTCAGGCCTAAGAACAGCATTCGATTCCCTTCTACTCAATCACAGCTGCAGGCACCGTAATGCATTTTTTCCCACCTACCTAGTAACACTCATTATGGCAGCAAGCCAGCTTGTAGTGGAAACACAACTGCAGCGTGGATGGAGCGAAGCTTCACTAAAATGCATCATAAAGTTTAGCGAAATGCATTGAATCAATTCAGAATTTCAGTGTGCTACATTTATCTCCCCTATTAAGAAGCTGCTGAAAAATACCTGTCTGCAATATGCATAACTTCAGGAAAGGGAATAGGACCCTGTCTTCTGCATTCCCCTGGAGAATGCTCCTCATTCAGAGTAAGGAATAAAACATCCGTTTTGTTTTAAAAATAAAGCCCAGATCTCCAGTTATGGTGGAGGACTTATTTCCTTGGCCCCCTGATGTTAGAGATTTAATGTACTTTCTTAGGTTTTAGAAATTAATTAAAGCGGAGAGGGAAGATGGGAGACAGGAAGAAAGATGTATGCTTTTTTGAGAACCTACTCAAAGAACAGTTGTTAATACTCTATCAAACTATCCCTATCAAACTTTCTATTAATGTTTAGTACATAGATCCTTTTTGCCACCTTCATAGGCCACAGTGACAAGCTCATGCCATAGGACTGAGGACGCTGTAAGGAAAATTGAGAGGCAAATGTGAGGTGGTGTGCTGCAGGTTCACTCTGCAGCGAGTTACTTGCCTGCCAGTACAGTGCAGAGAAACCAGAGCTCCCTGAGCCAGGTACGAGTAATCCTCTAGCCGCATCCCATCACGCTACCAGTTCGCGAAAGAACACCCCCAAGAGAGAAACCCGGGATGCAAGACTGACCCCCCTCAGGGTGAGTGGCGGGACCGAAGGCGGGAGCCCGCTGCTGTCTGCACAAATGTGCCACAGACCAGTTGGCGTAGAGAGGATGAGCACCACCATCAGCAGATCCCAGTGGTGTTTGGCAGGCACGCTCTGGACAAGCCTATGCACCAGCCCCCTCGGGGGACCAGGCACAAGACTGAAAGGACTTGGCATGGATTAGATGAGAGAGAGATATCACATTTCTCAAATAGGGACAGCTTTGGATATGGCCAGCAGCAGGACACCGGGAAGGCTTTAAAAGCACCTACAAAGGCGTATAGTGAGTTTAAGCACCTGCATAACTTGGGAGCATTTTCAGATCACAAGTCTGGTTTCTACTGCATCAATTCAACAAAAACCCTATTTTAGGAATCCAAGTCTTGTACTGAATGTAGTCCTGTATATTTTATCGTTCTTCACACCCAAAAAATTCCTAGGTTTGCTCCAGGGCAATCTTTCAGAAACTAATGACGTATGGGCTTACAATTTTATTTATGAATATAACACATGAATATCTCCTATAAAGGGGATGAATCTGGATTATCTTCTATGACAGAATATAAATAACTTGATCATATCAATCATAAGGGTGACTATACGATAAGCATATAAAAATGCTTATAGGTACGTGACTCATCCCCACAACATCCAAGTAAAGCATACGTTCCTCTGAATGGAAACAGACTTAAGAAACAGTTAATTTTCCTCTTCTTTGAGGGCTCAGGCACATTACTCAACATCAGCTGAGCTGCGGTAACCGACTTAATGCAACACAGAATGAAATGCATTAGCCTGTATTTCTCTAAAATGTCACAAGGGTAAGAGCATGAAAAGGTTCTGATGCTCAGTAGCTAATTAACCCCCAATTAGTCAACCCTGTTCTTGAATATCGCTGATGCAGCCACATCAGTAAAACACAAATGGAATCAAATAATATCACAAAATTTTTGCACTAACAAGTAGAAGTAAAGAGCAGGATGTGGATTAATCTTTGCAAACAGAATTAAATTATCTCTCAATAGAGAGCAGAAAGGGAAAGACCCCTTAAAAATAACATAAATGATACATTTTAATATGATTATGGGACATGCCAAATAAAATTTAATAGCTTGCTACATGATTTCTAGTAAGAAGCACTCAGAGGAAAAAGGTCAAATAGTTTGTATTCATCACTATTATTCTCCCATTTCCTCTGAGCTTCCAATTTTCCAGTCATACATATATGCTACAGAATAGCTGATTTGAAGCACTGGAGAGGAAGTGTTATTTTCAAATCCACTTTCTGACAAACACCTTTCAACCTCGTATTTCAGAGAGACTATGAGAAATTAAATGAAATTATAATGGATAGGAGGTGGTCCCTGGGGCCCTAAATCAA